GGCCTGGTGGGGGTCGGGGAAGCCAGCTACTCCACCATCGCGCCCACCCTCATCGCTGACCTCTTCGTGGCAGACCAGCGGAGTCGGATGCTCAGCGTGTTCTACTTCGCCATCCCAGTGGGCAGGTGCGTGGGCCTCGGGCCTGCCTGGCGGGAGGCAGAGGGGCTGGCATTGGGCTGACTGACCAGCTGTCCCTCCTCTCCCGCCCTTTCCCCCAGTGGTCTGGGTTACATTGCAGGCTCCAAAGTGAAGGATGTGGCTGGGGACTGGCACTGGGCTCTGAGGGTGAGTTGGTCACAGCCTGCGGGGAGGTCAGCAACATTCTCACTGATTCCCCCGTTTTTACCTTCAGACACCCCATTTTCAGGCAGCGTTTACTCTGCCAAGCCTGCAGGAGGCCTGGCTGCCCTCCCCACAAAGCCATGTGCTCGACAGAGCTCTTGGTTATGGGTGACAGAGCCCATTATAAGGGCCAGCACCCAGATGGGATTGCACTGGCTCTCAGAAAGGAAGGCCCAGGGGGAACTTCAGGTACAGCCGGATCCAGGCGCCCACAGACAGGCATTTGATCGCCCTCCTGAGCTCTGCTTCCCTCTATGCTACTTTTTTAAAAAATATGTTTTATTGATTTTTTTACAGAGAGGAAGGGAGAGGGATAGAGAGTTGGAAACATCCATCAGCTGCCTCCTGCACACCTCCTACTGGGGATGTGCCCGCAACCAAGGTACATGCCCTTGACCAGAATCGAACCTGGGACCTTTCAGTCTGCAGGCCGATGCTCTATCCACTGAGCCAAACCGGTTGGGGCTCCCTCTATGCTACTTTTGTTCTCAAGCAAGTGAACACTCCATTTAGAAACTTTGGACCCTGAGTCCTTGAGCAATAGTCCTGGATAGTGTCTGGTTAGGTGAACATGGGCCACATGCCTGCCAGCGATTGAATCAGTCCCGAAGGCTGGGGAAGTTGGACAAGTCTGGGTCACAGGCCCGTCTCCCTGCTGGAGCCACGTGGATTTAGAGAAGTCGGGGGAGTGGTTTCCCAAAAGAAAGTTAGGGTGCAGTTTCCCAAGGAGGAGCAGTCAGGCTTGCAGAAATGGGAGTGGTCACTAGCGCCGCCCCTCCCCCAGTGGCAGCTCAGCTCCCTGAGCAGGCACCTACCCTCCTGTTTGAGGTCTTGGGGCCTGAGTTGCCCTTACACGCCTTCCCTTTCTCCCGGCCCCAGGGTTGGGCGTGCCTCTGCCTGGGCCGGTCCTGAAGCCCACTCTCTCCCAGGTGACGCCGGGCCTAGGGGTGGTGGCGGTGCTGCTGCTGTTCCTGGTCGTACGGGAGCCGCCAAGGGGAGCTGTGGAGCGCCACTCGGACTCCCCACCCCTGAACCCCACCTCGTGGCGGGCAGACCTGAGGGCGCTGGCTAGAAAGTGAGTTTAATTCCATCCTAACCCCACATCGTAGATCCCCAGGGAGGCCCTGGCCCTGGCAACTGGGTTGAAATTTACGTGGGGGTCGTCATGTTTTTAGGGAGAGAGAACCAAACATCGATTTGTTGATCCGCTTACTTATGCACTCCTTGGCTGCTTTTCGTGTGGGACCCCATAACTTAGGCATTACCGGCTGGTCTTCATTTTCTTTCCAATCTCCTGGCCCAATGTCAGGCCAGTAATGCAGTCACTACTGCCCCCTGTGGCAGCTGCTTGAATTACAGGCCCAGATCCCGGGAGCCGGGACAGCCTCCACACCCAGGGCCCTGACCTTAGCAAAATCAGCCAGGAATCGAGAACAGAGTCCCCTCCCTGACCCCTCAGTGGAGTCTGACTCCCTCCCTTCCAACCGTCTTTGCAGCCCTAGCTTCATCCTGTCCTCCCTTGGTTTCACTGCTGTGGCCTTTGTCACGGGCTCCCTGGCGCTCTGGGCTCCTGCGTTCCTGCTGCGTTCCCGCGTGGTCCTGGGGGAGACCCCGCCCTGTCTTCCTGGGGACTCTTGCTCTTCTTCTGACAGGTACCCAGGTCGGGGCTGGGAGGGATGGCCTGCAGGCGGCAGGGGGTGGAGTGGAAAGGGGATGGCCTAGGCTCAGACAGGGAGAGTTTGAGTCTCAATTCCACCAGCTGCCTTCCTCTCCCAGAGTTTGTTTCCTGGTCCAGGAAGTTGGTGATAGGAACCCAGTGAACCGTGGGGTGTTGTGCCTGATAGACCTGGGCTGTGAGGTGGCTGGGATGGCCCATCCGCCTCTCCAGGCCATAGGGGGGAGGCTCGGGGCTTTGCAGGGGGACAGACCAGTCCCCATGTCCCTCCTTCTGCCCCCAGCCTCATTTTTGGGCTCATCACCTGCCTGACTGGTGTCCTGGGTGTGGGCCTGGGCGTGGAGATCAGCCGCCGCCTTCGCCACTCCAACCCCCGGGCTGACCCACTGGTCTGTGCTGCTGGCCTCCTGGGCTCTGCGCCCTTCCTCTTCCTGTCCGTGGCTTGTGCCCGTGGCAGCATCGTGGCCACTTATGTGAGTAGCCGGCAGGCACCAGGAGGGCTGTTTGGGACCTGGGGAAGGAAGGTGCACTGGGGCAGCCAGCATAGTGGTTCACAGCCAGCTCTGGGGTGGGAATGCCTGGTTTTGAACCTCAGGTCTTGCCCTTCCTAACTGTGTGACGTTGGACAAGTGACTTAACCTCTCTGTGCCGTTTCACCATTTGTACAAAGGGAATGATAATGGCTCCTGTGTCATAGCGGTGTTGTGAGGACTGAATGAGTTAATAGATGGGCCTCCATGTGTTTGCTCTTGTGCTGAGCTCAGCCCTGCTCCCCCCCCCCACCCCGCCCCGTGCCCAGGTTTTCATCTTTGTTGGGGAGACACTGTTGTCCATGAACTGGGCCATTGTGGCTGACATTCTGCTGGTGAGTGGGGGGTCCGTTCCAGGCTTCGTTCAGAGGCTGCGGGGAGTGGGTGTGGGAGGCCTCACTTGCCTCGAATTGTGGCCTTTACCCCGTCTTCAAAACCCGGCCCCAGCGTGACTTCACTGTCCAGCCCCAGATGGGCCTACAGGCTGGCCTGCCATACCCTTACCCCAGCGCACCTCTGAGCTGGGGTTCACTGACCTCCGCCTGGGCCGAGCCTTGGCCTTATCTTTGCCCTGTCTCCTGCCCCCCCCAGTATGTGGTGATCCCTACGAGGCGCTCCACCGCCGAGGCCTTCCAGATTGTGCTGGCCCACCTGCTGGGTGACGCCGGGAGCCCCTACCTCATTGGCCTGGTGAGCAGTGCCCTCTGGCTGGGCTGGGTGGGGCGGGCACCCTGGCTCCTGGCACTGGCTGGCGGGCAGTGGCCAGGGCCTGTGCCTGGGCGGCATGGGAAGGCCAGGCCCCAGCTAGACTTCCCGTCACCTCGGGCCCTCAGCCGGACGGAAGGACTTGTCTTCGTGAGTTTCCACATGAGGCCTGGGCCTCTCCCTGGGGCCAGACACCCTTCCCTGCCCGGCTCCAGTCTCTGTTCTGGAGTTGGGGCGCCCTTTCCAGGACTCTTTCTCCTGCTTTTCCTGTCCTGTCCCCACAGATGTCCGACCGCCTCCGCCGGAACTGGCCCCCCTCCTTCTTGTCCGAGTTCCGGGCCCTGCAGTTCTCGCTCATGCTCTGCGCCTTTGTCGGGGCGCTGGGCGGGGCAGCCTTCCTGGGCACCGCCATCTTCATTGAGGGAGACCGCCGGCGGGCGCTGCTGCATGTACAGGGTCAGTGGGGCTCCCTGCCCAAGGTCGGGATGCTGCCCGCTTGTTCCTTCGCCCGTGTGTCTAGTCCTGAGAACTGGCACCTCCCGGCCCACAGGCCTCCCTCACCCCGCTTTGGGTCTGCCTGCCACAAGCTGGTGTCCCACTGTGCCCGCAGCTCCAGGCCCGTCCGTGTCCCACCGCCCATGTGTCCCCGCAGGCGTGTGTCTGTCGCCCTCCAGCCCTGGCCCTGACCCCTCCCCCACAGGTCTGCTGCATGAGGCCGGGCCCGAGGATGACCGCATCGTGGTGCCGCAGCGAGGCCGCTCCACCCGGGTCCCGGTGTCCAGTGTGCTCATCTGAAGGGCCGTCGCTCGCCTCCCGCACACCGGCCACAGCTGCCGGCCACCCCAGCGGGCCCCCGGCCCGGACCTCGGCCTGGCCCAGCTTCTGAGAGGGGCCTTGGGCGTGTTCCAGGCCCCACACTACACGGGCGCCAAGGGCGGGCGAGGGGGCGCAGGAGGGAACCCCTCCACTGGAGCAGCCCCGGGGGCTCGGTGCTATTTGTACTGAATAAAATTTGTAGCCAGACCCCAACCGCCTGCTTGAGTCTCTCTGGGTGCTAGTGACCCCCCCTGGAATGTGGGCTGCCCCCTCCAGCCCCAAGGCTCCTGGTGGCTGCCGGCCACTCCTGCGGGGCTGCGGGGTGGGTGAGCGAGGCTGGAGTGAGCTGGCTCCCTGTGACCATGAGTCACGCCCCTGTTTCCCCCGAGCCCGCCCGCGGGGAGGCCGGCTGGGGTGAGGGGTGGGCCCTGTGCCTGGGCGTTAGCCTCCCTCTGCTGCCTCCTGGAGCCCCGCCGCGGAGGCTGCTGCTGGCTGCCGGCAGCTGCTTGTCCTGCCCCGCTGGTGTGAGTGCCCCTTGTCCGGGGGACCAGCAGACCCTGGAGGACCTGGGTGGCTCCTCAGGCCTCCTCCGCTCTCCCACTGCTGGGTGGGGGTGGGAAGGGGGTAGGTGCAGCCGGCTGAGGAGCCTGATGATTTCCTGCCCTCACCCGACGCTCACCACAGCTTCCTGCCACAGGCGGGAGGGCAGGCGCTGAGGAAAGGCGGGCGCTGAGCCCAGGGGCAGGTAGGCCTGGGTGCAGGGGCCACGCAGGGTGGCTGGTGCCCCAGACTCCAGCCAGGCCCCGGCCTGACTGCCTGGGGCCCAGGGCCTGACAGCCAGCACTGACACGCACTGACCCCCAGGCGGGGTGGGGACCCAGGAGCCCTCGAGGAGG